CCATGTGTGTTCCTATGCAACAATTTTGCATGTTCTTCACATGTACCCCAAAACCTAAAATGCAATAAAATAAATAAATGGGGGAAAAAAAAAAGAAAAGAAAAGAAAAAGATGAGAACACCTCATGGCTAACAGAAAACAAAAACAAAAACAAAACAAAACAAAAAACACAAAACACCTCAAACAACCTAAGTTTAAATTCTGAGGAACTAGGAAAAGAAAATGAGCCCAAAATTAACAGATGGAAGGAAATAATAAAGATTATAGCAGAAATAAAATAGCAAAAGAGAAAAAAATATTTTTAAATAAGATAAATGAAACTTGACAAACCTTTGCAAGACCAGCCAAGGAAAAAAAGAACTCAAATAAATAAAATAAATGAAAGAGGAGAAATTACAACTAATACCAAAGAAGTACAAAGAATCATAAGAAAATACTATGAACAATTATACATCAACAAATTATATAACTTAGAAGAAATGGACAAAATTCTAGAAACATATAACCGATCAAGGCTGAATCACAAAGAAATGGAAAATAAAAACAGACTAATGCAGGTAAGGAAACTGACCCAGTAATAAAAAATTTTCCAACAAAGAAAAGCCAAGGACCAGATGACTTCATTGAATTCTACCAAATAATTAAAGAAGAATTCATGCTCATTCTTCTCAAACTCATCCAAAAAACTGAAGAGGAAATACTTCCAAACTTATTTTATGAGAAAAGTATTACCCTGATAGTAAAGCTAGATAAAAACACTGAAAGAAAAACTCAAAGGCCAATATCCCTGTTGAACCTAGATACAAAAATTCTCAACAAAATGCCAGCAAACTAAATTTAACAGCACACTGAAAGGATCATATACCATGACTAAATGCGACTTATCCTGGGATACAAAGTTGGTGCCACATGCAAATCAATACATTAGACATGCCACATTAACAGAATGAAGGACAAAAATCATATGATCATCTCAACAGATACAGAAAAAGCACATGACAAAATTCAACACCCTTTCATGATAAAAAGCTCTCAACAAATTAGGTATGAAAGGAATGTATCTTAACATAATAAAGGCCACAAGTGTCAAGGCAACAGCTAACATCACACTTAACAGTGAAAAGCTGAAATATTTTTTGCTAAGATCAGAGACAAGACAACAAAGAATAGAACTCACCAGTTCTATTCAACAAAGTACTGGAGATCCTAGCCAGAGCAATTAGTCAAGAAAAATAAAATCAAATCAGTAAGGAAGAAGTAAAATAGTCTCTTTGCAGATGACATGATATAGAAAACCCAAAAGACTCCACCAAAAACTGTTACAACTAATAAATTTAGTACAGTTGCAAGGTACAAAATCAAAATACAAAAATCAGTTGGGTTTCTACAGGTTAACAATGAACTGTTTGAAAAAGAAAGAAATAATCCTACTTACAATAGCATCAAAAACAATAGAATACTTAGAAATAAATTTAACCAAGGAGGTGAAAAATCTGTTTACTGAAACCTACAAGCCATTGATGCAAGAAACTGAAGTACAAATAAATGGAAAGGTGTACCATGTTCATGAATTGAAAGAATTTTGTTAAAATTTCCATACTACCCAAAGTAATCTACAGAACCAATGTAATCCTAATAAAAACTCCAATGGCTTTTTCCCCCCACAGAAATAGAAAGAAAAGACAATCTGAAAATTTGATGAAACCACCAAGGAGCTTGAGTGGCCAAAACAAAAAAACAAAGTGAAGGCATCACACCACCCAACTTCAAAATATATTACAAAGCCATAGTAATCAAAACAGCATTGTACTCCACAAAAAGACACATAGACCAAAGGAACAGAATAGATCCCAGAAATAAACCCATGCAACTACCTTTGACAAAGCTACCAAGACACAATGAGGAAAAGATACTGAAAGAAAAAATCAAAAGTGCTGGGAAAACTGTATACCCACCTGCAGAATGAAATTGGTCCTTGACGTTTTGTGTGACCAAAGTAGTTTGAAAAGAAGAGTGAGTGAGGGAGTGAGCAAGCTATAAAACTAGGCTGGGACAAAGTCAGGGGTTGCCAAATGTCATGCTGAGCTTTGGTACTTTATTTGGCAAGAAAATAAAACTGAAAATAGAGTTATGTAGTAGCTCATCAAATGAAAAAGGATGCATTTGGTTCTAAAGTTCAAAATGAGTGCAGTACATCACACTCCAGTATGGAAAATGTTCATGTTATAGGTCATTTTAATGAACACATGCACACACACTTTAATTTTCGAAGACCAAAGTTTAAAGAAAATACTTTTTAGTCAAGTACAGATCCCCAAAGATTTATTTAAAGCAATTTTTTATTTAAATAGTTTTCATTTTTGAAACATTTTCCCCTAGTACTCTAATCTCAAAGTCAGCATTTCTCAAATGCTGATGCCACTGGGAAAAATATCCAAATTGGTAATGAAAACATATGCTATGTACATCTGCTCAAACCAGCAGCAACATGATGTCAAACAAAAATGGATGGCATTAAAACAAAAATCCAAAAACCCATAATGGCAACTAAAAAGCAGCAATAAGAACAAACAGAAATTAAAATCTCTAGCTATAAACAATGAAGACTTACAGATTAAATCTAAACTTTACTCTTTCTGTTAGTACAGAAACCTCTTACTACTAATATTCAAATAGGGTGCAATGGAGGTGTTACTTTTATATTCTCAGTAACTACCTTTCCTCACCTGCTCCCTATGGCTTTCTTCTAAAAATTTCCCACTCCCGGCCAGGCGCGGTGGCTCACACCTGTAATCCCAGCACTTTCGGAGGCCGAGGCGGGTGGATCACGAGATCAAGAGATTGAGACCATCCTGGTCAACATGGTGAAACCCTGTCTCTACTAAAAAAATACAAAAGATTAGCTGGGCATGGTGGCTCGTGCCTGTAATCCAGGCTATTCAGGAGGCTGAGGCAGGAGAATTGCCTGAACCCAGGAGGCGGAGGTTGCGGTGAGCCAAGATCGCGCCATTGCACTCCAGCCTGGGTAACAAGAGCGAAACTCCGTCTCAAAAAAAAAAAAAAAAAAAAAAAAAAAAAAATTCCCACTCCCTTGGGCAAATTCCTTTCTTGATCAGCTCAGGAAACAAATGTGATCCAATCTGGGCAAAATCGAAGTACTTCTCCAAAATTTTACATAGCTTGCTATATAAAAGCTTTGAACCTTGCTATGATAAGGTAAGCTTAAACTGTCAATTGCTGTTATCCACCATCTTCACCTCACTGCTCCTCAACCCTAACATAATATCTCCAAGGGGAAAATCTGCCTGGAAGAGAAAACCAATCCATAAAAAAGAAAATAATCAGAGCCAAGTGTGTAGGATGGTAAGATGACTTCTTTGGACGTTTGGACCCAGGCCCAGTCATGCCTTGACTTCCCTGTATATAAGCCAATAAACTGCCCTTCATGCTGACACTATTTTGAGTTTTTTTCACTTGCAAATGAAGAATGATTGGTTACTAATCATCCTTCACTACATCTACCTGAAAATAAACAACACATTTTAATGCAATAGAATAAGGCTTAGTCCATTTCATGTTGTTAGAATATCTAACATTGGGCAATTTATTTTTTAAAAGAGTTTTATTTGGCTCATGATTCTGTTGGCTGGAAGGTTCAAGATTGGGCAGCTGTTACCTGGCGAGGGCCTTATGTTGCTTCCACTCTTGGCACAAAGTTAAAGGGAAGTAAGCATATGCAAAGAGATCACATGGGAAGAGAGGAGGCAAAAACGAGAAAATCAAGGAAGCCAGACTCTTCAATAATCTGCTCTTGTGGGAACTAATCCATTCCTACGACAGTGACAGCGAGAATGAGAACTCACTCACCCCAGTAGGAGGGCATTAGTTTATTCATGTGGGATCTATCTGCCCCCATGACCTAAACACCTTCCATTAGGCTCTACTTCCCAACACTAGCACATGGGGAATCTAATTTCAACATGAGTTTTAGTAGGAACAAACTACATCCAAATTGTAACAGTGTAGATTAAATAAAAATAGACCAGTATCTTTATGTAAAATTTAGTAACATGAAATCAGGTCTAACACAAAGTATATGTCAACCTAATTAAACAGAAATGTATAAAGAAAACTGTTGGCATTATAGTTATGTGACTAACATTTTATTATATGTCATGAAACCTGAATCCCACTACTTGCTACATGAAAACAAACTGGCTCAACTACAGTTTGGAATATTAAATATCTATTTTTAATAACTCTTTTCAATTTTTTTTTTTTTTGGAGACAGAGTCTCACTCTGTCACCCAGGCAGTGCCCAGGAGTGCAGTAGCACAACCTCAGCTAACTGCAACCTCTGCCACCTGGGTTCAAGTGATTCTCGTACCTCGGCTCCCTGAGTAGCTGAAATTACATGTGCCTGCCCCCACACCTGGCTAATTTTTGTATTTTTAGTAGAGACGGGGTTTTGCTATGTTGGCCAGGCTGGTCTCAAAAATCCCTCGACTTCCCAAAGTGCTGGGATTACAGGCGTGAGACACTGTGCCTGGCTAATTCATACTTATAACAGGCACAGGTATAAGTGTTATTTACTATAATTTACTACTATTAATCCCATATGTATAATTAGCAATTATGAAAGGCCTATCTTCTCTTTGAAATTATTGTTTAAAAAAATAAAGAAAACCAAGTGGAGCTTTTCTCCTTTTAAGATGTGATTCATGAACAAAATGCAGGATGCTGAACTTAACAAGGGTCAAGGAATTTGTTTACTCATCAGAATTTGTCAATAATCTAACATGGAGAGGGCCTCCAAAAAGAAATTGGGTCTTAATGCTACAAACGTCTAGGGCTTTCAGTTTATTCCAATTCCATAACCTCCAAGCCATTGGTAATTCACTAAAACACATGTGTATTGTAAATCTTATGGGAATAAATGTGCATATTAATCAAATAAGTTGATAGTTAAATTTAGGGGAATTCTGAGTTACATTCTTTCCTAAGAAAGCCTATAATTGAAAATTCTAATAGAATTCTAGAAAATAAAGATGGCAAAGATGCATTAGATGATGTAGATTTCTTTTTTCCTCCTGAGCAGTGGAAAGTACAGGATAGTTTGTTTTTTGTCCAGTTTTCAATTTAAATTCAGAAGGGACGGAACTCAATACTTTTCTTGGAAATGAGACTGCATCATAACAGATTTCACTGTCAGGAAACTCCTATCCACCCTGATATTCAGATCACATGTTCTTTTTATAGACTTTATCCCACTTTTCCTAATAACAATTATATGACATGTTTCACTCAATTCATCTATCTCTTGCTGGTTTCAAGAAGGCACATTTCACTTTAGATTATATATGAATTCCTTGAAATCTCATTTATTTGTCTCTCCAGTAATATGGTGAAAAACATAATTCTACACAAATTCTTTATTATATATTAGGAGAAGATTCCTGAAGTTGCTTTAGAGATTATATACATGCATATTTCTCAAATTTCAAGGCCTCACTTTCTATGAACTTTCTATGAATCACATTTCCACTACTACTTTTATACCAAAGGTCTTTCTGGTATTACTTTTTTTCGATTCTCTTCTCCAATTTCTACCCCAAGTTATACTTGTGTTCTACAAATTTATCTTATGCTCATCTTCTCATTATCTTTTCATATTTCAAAGTCTCCTTAACTAACATCTCTGGTTTCTTTTTGGTAAAAAACTTATTCCAACTGTAAACTAAAAATGAATTTCATTAATGTCCAACTTTATCATTGCTTTTTAACGATTAAGTATACACATGTAATACAGATGTAACAATCTTTTACTCTCTTATACTCATATTGCAGTGTCATAGTGGTATAAACTCCAATAAAATTAAGAATTATTTTTCAGTATGTGAGATCAAACTGTATACAGAACTGCCATAACATATAAATTAAGCTGTGTATATACATTAATATGTACATATACATTCCAATAACATGTTGATTTCCTTTTTTTTTTAAAGTTATTGCTAGACATATCAAAATACAGTATAAAACTGGCAATCACAACACCCTTCTGCAGTAATGATGAGAGTGGACTGGGAATGTGACGAAAGGCACAGAATTCATAAGACTTGAATAAGTAGATGAATGGCTCAAACAATGTGGAGCCACTGATTTTCTGAAGTGAAT